GGATAAATGAACTACAAAGTCTTTGTTATGTGTTTTCCACTTAGAACATTGGTTCCATACACGATTCTAGGTGAAAAAAAGTCATATATTATTCAATATGTATTTACAATTTAAAAACATAATTAATGAATAAAAGATAAAGTTACCCTTGTAACAAGTTTTTCATTTCTTGACTCGGTTTCCGATGTAATGAACAAAACTACATCACAGTGTAATCCCGGGGCATGATTACAATTATATGACATAAAAATTAGTTATAAAAATATAAATTAAAATACAAATTAAAATACTAACCCTTCAATGTATGGAGCCAAATATATATATATATATATATATATATATATATATATATATGTGTGTGTGTGTGTGTGTGTGTGTGTGTGTCTTTTTGAGTCACAATCCATGTTTGCATATATTGTTGGATTCCAACTTTTGTATTTCCATATTTTTGGATGGATTAACTTGCTGATAATCTTGTAAAACTACATCCTATGTACAATTGTTGTACAAAATCAGATTTCAAATAATCATATAGATGTGCTTTCATAAAATTTTCTTCATCAATATCATGTATCATATCTTCTAGATTATCATCCATCCCTTCATCAAAATTGTCTGTAGTTGACATAGTTGGGATGTCTAATATTTCTCCATGCCATGTCCATATTGTATAACTCTTAATAATACCATAAACAAACAAGTGATCACGTATATCCTCAAGTTTATGACGAATTTGATTCAAACAACGAACACATAGACAATAATATGTCCCTTTCATAGCTTTTCCATTTTCACTAGCAAATTTCAAAAAAATTTCAACTCCCTCTTCATACTCTTCACTAATACGACGTGTGTTCATCCAACTTCGATTCATATTATGTTATAAAGTTTCGTCACTCTTAGAGATTCAAAATTTATATTTAAAAAGAAATTAATATACAAACAACAAAGCACGTAAATGAAGTGTGTAAACCAAAAATGCACTCAAGCAAATAAACAGATAATGACATTCCAATAACAATACAGTGGAGACATTCATACAATAACGTGATTGAGATCCCAAAAAACAATCACAGATTCAATTTAAACATATATCAGAAGACATAGAACACTAACCTCGAGTATACATGAAAATGATTTCAAATTCGAATCCAATCGGGGAGAAATGTCAAATTCGTAAAATGAGACACAATGTTGATGTTTTCACTGTCAAAATGATTGAAAATTGTATGAAAAGGTAGTTGTCGTCGTTCTCAAAAACCCTTGTTGCGCGAGATGAGGGAGCGGGTCTGAAAGAGAATAAAAGATACTTTTTACGTCGCGCATCCTAAGAAATGACGTAAAAAGCCTCTTTTACGTCACACCTAGGTGACACGATCACTACAAAAAAAAAGCCTATTACCTACGGAATATTACCTACGGATACAAATCCGTAGGTAAATTTTACATTACCTACGGATATTACCCACGGATAAAAATCCGTAGGTAAATTTTACATTATCTACGGATATTACCCACGGATGAAAATCCGTAGGTAAATTGTACATTACCTACGGATATTACCTATGGAATTCTATCCGTAGGTAATTATCCATTACCTACGGATATTACCTACGAATATTACCCACGGATGAAAATCCATAGGTAAATTGTACATTACCTACGGATATTACCTATGGAATTCTATCCGTAGGTAATTATCCATTACCTACGGATATTATCTGTAGGTAATGTAATTCGTGGATAATTCCGTAGGTAATTACCTACGTAATTACTATCCGTAGGTAAAGTGTACATTACCTACGGATATTACCTACGGAATTCTATCCGTGAGTAATTATCCATTACCTACGGATATTTTCCGTAGGTAATATCATCCGTGGGTAATTCCGTAGGTAATTACCTATGGATTTACTATCCGTAGATAAATTATATTAAACTAAAAAAATTGTCACTAGCAAAAATCGAACCCATTACCTTAAAATTGAAAACTGATACTTCAACCACTAAACTATTAGGATATTCTAATAATAATTTACAACTAAATTATACTTATATTAATTCATGTAAATATATAAATATATAAATATAAAATATATAAATATATAAATATAAAATATATAAATATATAAATATATAAATATATAAATATAAAATATATAAATATAAAATATATAAATATAAAATATAAAATATATAATTATATAAATATATAAATATATAAATATATAAATATATAAATATATAAATATATAAATATATAAATATATAAATATACAAATATACGATATATACGGATATACGGATATACGTAAATACGTAAATACGTAAATACGTAAATACAGTAAATACGTAAATACGTAAATACGTAAATACATAAATACATAAATACATAAATACATAAATACATAAATACATAAATACATAAATATTTAAATATTTAAATATTTAAATATTTAAATACATAAATATATAAATACATAAATATATAAATACATAAATATATAAATACATAAATATATAAATACATAAATATATAAATACATAAATATATAAATACATAAATATATAAATACATAAATATATAAATATAAATATATAAATATATAAATACAAATATATAAATGTATAAATATATAAATATATAAATATATCAAAATATAAATATATTTTATATTTATATATATTTTATATTTATATATATTTTATATTTATATATTTTATATTTATATATTTTATATTTATATATTTTATATTTATATATATTTTATATTTATATATATTTTATATTTATATATTTTATATTTATATATTTACACGGATAAATATAAATATAATTTATTTGTAAATTATTTTCAAAATAACCTAATAGCTTAGTGGTTGGAGTATCGACCTCCAACTCGAAGTACTTGGGTTCAAATCCTGCTAATGACAATTCCCTTAATCTAATAATAATTAAAAGTTTCAAAAATATAATAAATAATAAAAATATAATATAAAGGGGAGGGGGGTTCTAGGTAATAATAAAAAATAAGGGAGGGGGTCGTAATAAATAAAAATATTTTGTTAAGGTAAGTGCATTACCTACGGATTATAATCCGTAGGTAATTCCAGCGAGTGCATTACCTACGGATTATAAATCCGTAGGTAATTACCTACGACCAAATTACCTACGGATTTTCTACGGAAAGAAATCCGTAGGTAAAGTGACATTACCTACGGATTTTTGTCATTACCTACGGATTTTACCCGTAGATAATAAGCGTTTTTTTTGTAGTGGATATAAAAGAAGGATTTTTACGTCGCTTGCTGAGATGCGCGACGTAAAAAGTGATAGTTTTTTACGTCACACACCCCAGCATGCGACGTAAAAAGCTTTCTTTTACGTCGCGCTACCCAGGTACGATGTAAAAGAGACTTTTTATGTCACCTCCTAAGATGCGTGGCGTAAAAGTTTCGTCTCTTATTTACAAAATTGTCACTATGTTTTATTTATGTCGAATATTTTTGCATGACGATAATTAGGTGATGTAAAAGTTCATTTTTGCACTAGTGTTAAGGGAAGTATATTCAGAAGTTTCATGAAGGATTTGATACTTGGCCCAGGGATACAAACCAACATCACTAATCTCTTTCCTAACCATATTTTTTAATCCATCAAAACCAAGTTGCAAAAACAAAAGGTACAGGCGCAAGTAATAGCAACACAAAGACACAAAGAGAAGGTATAACACATATGAAGTGAACAAGAGCTACCCAAGCGCAAAAGGGAGAATGCACAAGGAAGGAGGGAGTGAGGTTGAAGCAGCGAAAGTAGAGTTAAGGTGAAGGGAAGGAAGCGAGGAAATGCGAAAATAAGTGTCGAGAGAGGAAATGATAGGGAGAAAGGCAAGTGTGTAGCACGTGTGTACGAAGTGACTAGATGTGACATTTTGTCAATAAAAATGATTGGCACGAGACTAACATTTGAGCTTCTCCAGAAATGGGTAGGGAATGGTAAAATAGTTTGAGCTTCATCCCAAGCTCAATGACAACATAATTGACAAAGCAAAAGCAACAATGGGCTAAGTCTTGACGTTGATAATTGAGGTTAGGAGTTGTCCCAACATCATCTATCTCATGAAGTACTAGCCAATATATATGTGGGTAAGTACCGAATATCTTAGCATATCTGGAAATCACGCCTGTTATTATGAAAAACTCGCATGGAATAATAACTGACCATGACTAAAAAAATTACAAATAAAAGGAGACTTAGGATTAAAAATAAGACAAAACGGCTAATTAGAGAACTCATCTCCCATAGCAACATGTAGCGTATTGATAGAAAGATATTTGATGATAAAATATGAGAATTTATTTGTATAACTTTATTTGCGGGGAAAGAAGTTAAAAAAAATTCATCGTCAATTCTCTCTCTATGTAAGTAACTTCATCTAAACTTTGTCCTATACAGACAATATCAAAATGGAACATCATTAGTCTCATGCGGTTCTCAGTAGTAACTGTGTCACTAATCCTTGAAATGATTGATTAAATAAATAAAAAAAAAAGGTGATGTTTTTAAGAAATACTTTTGGAGGAATGAATGCTCACAACCTCACTCATCCATGGCAATTGTTGATTCAAATAAATTGACAATTTTCTTATCCCCTATTTGTACTTCTGACCCAAAATCAAAAACTGAAAGAAGTAATCAGGCTCAAAAACTACGAGAATATCTCAAAATTGAATTTATTGAAAACGTATAGCTAGAAGAAACAAGTAGTTACCATTTAACTTCACTCTCTCCCTAACATCACAATAAGACCGTTATATGCATCACTCTGATGTTCTTCATAGCCAGCTGAAAACTCATCTTGCTCAACCTTCCTCTCCCATGTTTTGAGAAGGGTAACTTAAAGCCCCATATTTCTATTAAAAATGGAAACAAAGAACCAGATGGAAATTTTGGTTGAATATTCCATGCGTGCATTGGGTGCGTAAAAGGTTGAAGTGGCTTATAACCCTAATGATCTCATGCTTATCTCTTGGTAATGACGATCAACATCATCAAAGCGTTCCAACCTCATTTGGTGGTAAAAATGAGCAATGAACTCTTCAGCCTTCGCATCAATCATCTCATCCCCTTCTCCGTCACTGTTACCATCATCACTATTCATCTCCTCCACACCCTCTTTCTCGTTCTCCTCTTGCACCAGCTCGTCCAGCCCAACGGCCGAGGCGTAGCAGCTGCTACATGGAGACGGCGAGTTTGTAAACTCCGAAGCAGAATCAAACGCATCGTCGCCGGAATCAACAACGCCATTAGCAAACCGTGATGAGGTGATCGTGGGTTTAGATTGAGGCATGTTTGTATTGTTATCATGCGGTGGGGATTGGTCGTTTTGCAGGTGCAGTGGTCGCATGGACCCCAGGATCCTCCTCCACACGCTCTTGGACTCCTCACTCACAACAAGTTTTGATTTTGAACGCCCTCGCATCATGAACAGCGCCACCTTGAAAATGTTCCTGGCCCGCTTTCCCTTCTTGGCGGAAGAACGAGTGAGTTTGTCGTTAGATTGTTCATGTGGGCTAATTGTTTTTTGATCAATGCTAATGACCATAGAGTTTCCAGTGGCTGGCTCCATTGTGTGTATGAACTATGGAGAAGAAAATTAAGAAGTTAAATGATTATAATTGACAAGGTATTTCACCCTGCTCACCTGCTACAAGCAGGGGGAAATAGAAGAGTTTTGTGTGAAATCTTGGGAAGGAGTGAAATTTAAATATATAAACTAATGAGATATATTTAACGTGAATTGTGCGTGGAAGTTAAGGAAGGAATGGAGCCAAGCCAACACAGCAACATTGTCGTTATCATAATTGTGTATAATAAACAACACTGGCATCGTGGCAAGTTGGTTTGTTTATGTGGGGACATTATTGTTTTTGGGATTCTAATATGGGATGAGAAGGGAAGGTTCATGTGTGGCGCTTTCTGAGGCAAAGGATTCGCAGAGAAGCTTTCTTTTTCGGGACAACATACCTTGTTGCTGTTGTTTGTTGAACTGGACCTCTCTGTTTCAACAAAACAAAAAAGACATTCTGCAATTGCAAAAACTGAAACCTATAAATACAAAATTATGAGTTATTACAAGAAATAAGATAGATTTGGATCTCCTCGGAGATTCTATTTCTTCAAATGTCAACTACATTGATTTTATATCTAATTATTATTTAATGAAGAATAAATAAGATTGATTTAAATCACTGTTGATATATTGATATAAGGATTTAGAGAGGGTCAAACTCAAATCAAATATATCAATCTTGTTAGGGTTTATTTTATGTAATACATTTTCCCTCAAACAAAAGGAATATATTAAAATAATAGGTTAAAGTAATAGATATTATATTATTAATCATGAATAGCTTGTTTATTAAATTTATGAGTAAGATGAAAAATATTAAAATTTTAAACGTGAGAAAAATTTCTTAGTTAAATTATCTTTATTTATATGGTGTGTTAAAGTTGGAATTTAGGTATAGGGTGTAAGACTAAACAGTATAGTCAATAAACACATTTGTCAACAATATTCGGCACATATTAATTTTGAAACACTCAATGTAAAGTTCAATCAATTAAGAAAATTTTTAAGTTTCATTTTAAAATAATTATTATAATAAATAATAAAATTTATTTTAATAGTCTAATGACATTATAATTTACAATATCAATATATGTTACAATTAAATTCATTTTACCTACTGGTGCATTTAATTTTGATTTAAAAAGTATATTTTAAATTCAATTGTATTATATTTCAAATTTAATTAATTATTTGGTATATATAGATTCACGCATACCTTTTGTTCGAGTCTTTATTAAACTCTATGTTTTAGTTTTTATCCAAGGTTTTTTTTTGTTTGTGTGTGTCTTTATTATTAATTATTAATTGAAATATGATACTGCAAACTTTTTAATGACAAATTTTAGGAGAAAAATAAATAAAAAAGGATTCTTTCAAAATTAAAATTAATTTGTACATAAACAAATTTGTAGAATTTCTCTTGTATATTTTTTTTTATTTTGTACGCAAATTAATTTTAACTTATATTTTTTTCTTAGAGAAAAAGTTGTCTAAACACACTTATAAACTTAGTGTTATTACATTTAACATGACGATGAACCGAGTTGTTGTCATGTTCACATGACAAGTTCAACAATTTAACTACTTACGTTGTTATCATTAATGTTAACTTAAATCATGTTAGTTTTTGTAAATATTTATCCAAACTTTATTTAGTTTCAATATTTAATTAAAAATTATACAGTTTAGTCTTTTTATATATTAGCCTTCAGTTTATTTTCTTTATTACGTACTGTTTATATTTCTCTTAAAAACAGAGATGCAAAAACTCATGGTATTTGAAGGAACTAAACAGAAAATTATAATATTTCAAGGAAGATTATAATATTTCAAGGAAGTGTATTAGAGTAGGATTATTGTAAATCAATTAGCACTACTGTTGCTGTGATATCTTTTCTTTTTTGTTAGCCATATCTTTTCTGTTAGCTTTTCTGTTACAGTGACAGGTCATCTTTTCTTTTCTTACTCCTTTGGTCTTATATAACACGACCTATGTATTCCTAAAACATGGATTTTTTTTATTTATTTATTCAATGAGAAAAGGTTACACCATTGTTCTCTTCTATGGTATCAGATTTCTATAACATCTCTCGTCTTCCGCGCCTTTTCTCTTCTTGATCAACCATGGCTACCTTCAGCCAAATCACTTCACCACCGGATCATATCATTAATCACACAAACCCTCTATACTTGCATCGTGGTGAAAATCCAGCCGACATTCTTATTTCTCCATCACTTTCTGAAATGTGAATTGAAAGCAATGAGGGGGAGATTGATGGAAATGTTCTTACATTCCCAATAGATGATTTTGTTAATGATTCAAGTCAACTATATTCAAGATGAATTAAGGACAAGCTGAGACAAGCTGAATTTAAGACGTTGGTAACAATGTGAAACATTTCCCTACATGCCCAATATATGTTTTTGATAAAGATGATGATTCAAGCAAACCCAAGATGATTCCTGAATACTAGATAAAGTCTTAGAATACTGGATATGGAGGTACAAGTTGATGAAGTAATATTATGCATAAACCTCCAAAACACAAGTGTGATAAAATTTATAACATGATATTTTTCACTGTCATAATCAATTATAATGCATCAGAAATGGAAAAATGATTTTCTCTGTCATAATTGATTATACTGGTAACATAATCAATTATGGAAATTCAAATTTGAAAAATAGATCTGTTTTGAAGAATAAATATTTTTGAATATATCCTGATTTTTATTCATGAAAATATTAATGTTCAATGGCCATTTTCTGATGCTATTTTTCTATTTAATTAAGTTTTGATGAAAAATCAAAAACACACAATTACAGAATTCGAAAATACAATTTGCATTCAATCAGTTTTGAGAAAATAATTTTGAGCAAGGAAATAGAGATATTTTACACCTTCTGAAAATTCTCTTCTCTACTGTCTTATGTGCTCTCATTATTAAACACACTTGTTCTTGGAGATTGACATTCTACAAGCTTCTACAATTTGTTGTCTCCATTACCCAGGTGTGACTGTTCTTATTTTTATTACCTTCATCCTTTGTGTATTGGTGTCAAAAGAGGTGTTTTTCATCCCTAGTGTGATTCTAGGGAGGTGTTCATCCTTAGTGAGATTCTAAGAAGATGTTTTCATCCTTTGATTTGTTCGAAGGAGGTTTTCATCCCTAGTGTGATTCTAGGGAGGTGTTCATACTTAGTGGGATTCTAAGGAGGTGTTTTTTCATCATTTGATTTGTTCAGAGGAGGTGTTCATCCCTAGTGGGATTCTAGGGAGGTGTTCATCCTTAATGGGTTTCTAAGGAGATGATTGTCTTTTTAATTAGTTTACTTTTTACTGTTTCTTCTGCTCAGTTGATTGTAATTTGTAAACTGAATTTGAAAGATAGTGAATTGGGAGTCACTCTTGTGTTAAGAGTTGACTAGAACTAGATATAAGGTTGGTTATACCCGAACCAGTATAAATCTCTGTGTGCTCTTCTCTTTCCCTTATCTCTTTCTCTTTTCCTGATTATATTATCGTTTCCGCTTTATCTGTGTTCAAACAAATTATTGACTCACAAATAAATTTTTAATTTGACATCTATTTTAATTTGTGTATCTATTCACCCTCCTCTAGATGTCATTTGTCTAACAAGTGGTATCAGAACTTGGTTAGATAAGATATTTCTAAACGATCTGTCAAGATGTCTATGCAGAATCAGGTTTACAAGGAAGGAGCCTCAATAAACAGACCACCATTATTTGAAGGAGAAGACTATCAATTTTGAAAAGCAAGAATGGAAATATTTTTACAAATACTAGATTATGGTGTTTGGGATGTTGTACTCAACGGTCCTTACATTTCGATGAGAAAAATGAAGTCTAGAGCTGTTCCAAAGACTTTTGTCCAATGGACGCCGGATGAAAACAAGCGTGCCCAATATGATGTAAGAGCCCGAAACGCTATTGTTTCTGCCTTAACTTGTAATGAATATTTCAAGGTCTCACAATGCAAGACGACAAAAGAAATATGGGACACTCTTGAAGTAACACATGAAGGAACAAATGAAGTAAAGTGAGCACGTAAGAATACACTCATCCAGGAGTATGAATTATTTCAAATGCAGCAAAATGAAAGTATCACGGATTTGCAAACACGCTTCACACATATAGTAAATCACTTGAAAGCATTAGGAAAGAGTTTTGATAATGAGGAGTTGAACACAAATATCTTGGAATCCTTAGACAGGAATTGGCAACCAAAGGTCACTACTATTACGGAATCAAAGGATCTCACAAAAATGAACATTGCTACTCTATTTGGAAAACTGCGAGAACATGAGATTGAACTACAAAGGTTAAAGAATGGTGAACAGAATCAAGTCAAGACGATAGCTCTAACAGCAGAAAAATCTTCACAAGATGAAAGCGAAAATGAAGGTAAGTTTTTGGATTCTGAAATATCTCTTTTAGCTAAACAATTTTTTCGTTTTATAAAGAACAGGAAAAAGAGACAGTAAAGAAAAGAGAAAACCAATAGGTACGAGTGTTATGGATGTGGAAAGCTTGGTCATATCAAATCAGACTGTTCGAAACTTAAGAAAGAGAAGAAAGATGTGAAAGAGAAGTGTTAGAAAAGTAGTTTTAAATCAAGAGGGGGGGGTGAATTGATTTTTGAAAGTTTTTCGCAATAAACAGATTATCTAATTTGAAAATTAAGTTTACTAATCAATTCACAAATCACAAAGCAATTAAACAATACAAGCGCAGCAACTAAAATTAAAGAGAGAAAGGTTAGGAAAGGTTTCACCGGTAATTTTATACTGGTTCACCCAATACCAGGGCTACGTCCAGTCTCCAGTCAAATTCCAGCTGGGTTCCACTAGAATAGATGTTTTACAGACTCAACAATCTTACACCTACTCTAACACCAGAACCAATTTCCAGTTCTCGACTTTAACCTTTCCACCAAGAACCAAATTCCAGTTCTTGGAAACCTCTGCAACCAAATT